CCGTCCCTGTCCTATTGTTTCTCTTATTCTTTTATTTTTCTTATATGTACCCATTTCATATATTCACAACTATGTATACACTTGTACTTATTATCTTGTAAACAATTGACAAATCAAATAAATAAAAATAAATAAATAGCAGTAGGGTTTTGGGTTTTTTTGGTCTAGCTTCCCTCAGGGCGGTAAAATGTTCTTGACTGCTCTCAACTAGAGAGGGAGATACCATGGCCTATCACATGTTTTGAATATAGAATCCCCAAATTCAGTTGTTGGTATCTCGAGCTGTTAGGATCTGGCAGTACATTAATTTGATCTCCCTCCATCCTAGGTACATCCCAGTACATTAATTTGATCTCCCTCCATCCTAGGTCCCTGAGAACCAAAGCTAGAAGATGGATAATTATTTTGACATGTCATGGCGTCTACAGGATACAGGCATACTGTATTCCTGGATTTCCAAATGGGCAAGAGGAATACGTAAGGATGGAGAGAGTTGGAGAAGACTTTGGTTTAGAAAACCATGGATTTGCCAGGAAGCTATTGCTCTGTTGTTTCTAGGAAGTGGTTGAAATGAGCTTCCTCCACAAGATTGGTTTTTTTTCTCCCTTCCCTAAAGAAAACTCCTTATTGAGCAAGTAATGAACTTTGTGGAACTTTGACGCATCTCCTTTTGCAATAAGCAAGGAAAGAGATTGGAGGAAGAATAGCTGAGCATGAGGCCGTATCTTGTAGAAACAGATGGTGCTTAAAAGCAAAAAATTGTCTTTCAAGTAAAGTGAGGGGTTGATGCTCAGAATTAGATTTTTCTCCCCTTCTATTTCTTCTTTTTTAAAGTAATTTGGCAGGCTGCTTCCATTAAGTTAAGTGACTGAACCAATGTGTGAAGGCATCCTATTTAGTACCCTCAATCTAAAAATGCATTATTTTTTTTAAATTGAAGTGAAATAGTAGCTTAATAGCTGGAGCATTGTGCTTTGTCCTCCCTTTTCCATTGAAATATAGCACCAAAGTAATGCTAATTCCTCCTTTATGTAAGGGATATCGCATTTTTTGTCTGGCTGAAACCACTGGTTAAATTGCTGTAATATTGTCAAAAGTTTCTCAGGTTCTAGCCTCTGGGGAGGAAAGATCATAAAACATTGGTAAAAAGGAAAGAGGCAATAGTAGAAAGTCATCCTTGGACAAATGAAAACAGGATCTTGAAAATTTTAAGTTATAAGATTAATAATGATAGAACAAACCAACAGCTGCTGGTGTTTACAATTTGCAGTCCTGTTCAAACGTTGAAAGCCTGGGTCCATATCTGAAATGTTGAGATCCTATTGTCCTCCCATAAACAGGCTGTCATCTTGTACCTGGCCAGTCAAGAAAACCCATTTAAAAATATGAAAATGAAAATTTTAAAATGTTTATCATTAAGAAATTTGAATATCATATTGTTTAACATTATCATTTGAGGGAGGGGGTGTTGGGCACCTTTCCAATAAATAAAAATGGGCTGCAGCTGCTGGCAATATACATTATATATGTATAAAGGGAAGGGAGGGGAGGGGAACGAAGGAAGGAAGGAGAAGAAGAAAGAAAGAGAAAGAAAAGAGAAAGAAGAAGGAAGAATCAACTGTACTTATGGAAAGACGTGAACATTGAATTTATCCTTTTTTCTTTCTTTCTAGAGCATTGTTCAGGCTACATTCATTGGTCATGATTGGGGTGGTGCCACCGTGTGGAATATGGCCCTCTTTTACCCAGAGCGGGTCAAGTAAGTTAATTTCTCTATGACATTTGCATGCAATATGTATGATAGTGATGGATCAAACACCAAACAGTGCTCATCATCTGGAATTGGGAGCAGAAGTACAGTACATAATTCAGTCCTATGTCTTACAGTGCATACTTAACCTTAACAAAATTAAAAATTTGTGTAGATTATCTTTAGTTGCTATCTTCCAACCTTTTTCTCATCAAATTCAGTTTTTATTTGTTTCTAAATTTAATTGAAAGAATCCATAAAATGTCTTAAGTCTGATGTTAATAACTTGCCAGATTTTATCCTCCTTCTCCTTTATCCATTACTTTGTGAGCAATTTTTATTCATCTGCCTAAACAATACATTTCTAGTCATCTTGGTTTGTCTCCCTTTCATTGTATTTTTTAAAATTCTATTTCATTGTTGATATCTGTCCAGGATTACTTATACTGTTTTTTCTCCTTAAAATTGTGACATATCAGAGGCCAGCCTTCTCAGTCTGATGCTTTCCCTGTGAGTCTAGAGCTGCCACCATCCCTGAGGTGTCAAGTTCCTCAATTTACTTTTCTCCCAGATTTTAGCATTCAGCAGGTGGATAGACCAATAACTATATCTGAATGGAATTTGCCTGCTTGCCTTCCTTCCTGCCTTCCTGCCTTCCTTCCTCCCTCCCTCCCTCCCTCCCTCCCTCCGTTTCTTCCTAACTTCCTCCCTTTCTTCCTAACTTAAATTTATATTTCCCCCTATTCACTCATGATGACTCAAGGCAGCTTACCCAATATAAAAACCACATTTAAAGCCATAAAACTAATTTTAAAAATCAAATAAATCAATATAATAATAAAATCACCCACACCCCCGCCCCGCATCTATATGCCTTTAGAACTTGTAGAGTTATTTGCATGGTCTCTTACTTCTGTTTGTCTCCATCACACTCCCTGCTATGTTCAGCTAATATATTGCCTTGCTGTGATACTCAGTTGGGTACGTGATTGTATGGAAGTCTTAATGTGCTAAGCTCTGCCTTTCCCAGCCTGTTGGCTCCAGATGTCCTAGCACTGTAATTCTCAGAATACCATTCTGCACAACTGAAAGTCATTGAGTTGGGGAGCACTATATTATTACATTTTCTGTCACTACTCCTGTCTCAAATAGTTCTTTGGATACACTACATAATGTGATAATTCTTCAATACTGTAACATTGTCAGTGATGTTTAATGTAGGCCATTTAATTCTATTTAAGGTACAAAAGACACTTTTAAAATTAATTGTTTGTTTGTTTTTTGTTGTAGCATCAGGCATAGATTGCTACCTCTCTGGACATGTGCGCACTTTTGTATCAAAACCCTCCCCTCACTTTTCATCCCCTTTTCCTAATATCTTACTGTTGTTTTAGGGCAGTGGCTGGAATAAATACACCCTATACTCCTTCAAAGGCTGGAGTGGATTATGTGAAAACGATGGAAGCCATTCCTATTTTCGATTATCAGTTCTACTTCCAAGAGCTAGTGAGTACTATAATAGACACAAATTTGTACTGCCTAGGTGGAGTATTGAGGCTGTACTGGAATCCAAATTTGGAGTGATAGTCCCATCTTCTTGGATCCTTTCTAAAGAATGATGAAAAAGAGGTTTGAGATTTATCCTAACATACAAGAAATGGAACATCTCATGATCCATGATCAGAGGAATAGCAGTAGAGAGTCTATAAGGGAATCCTTAAATTACAGGCTTTCTGTCTCCCTAGTCAGATATCCTACATAGCAGTCAGCTAGCTTTAACATATACTTACTGTAGAACAGAGGTGTCAAACTGGCGGCCCATGGGCCAGATGTGTCACATTCAGGCCACGCCCAGCACAGCTCCGCGAATGGGGAAAATGTCACGAAACATCATGTGATGGCAACGTGACACCACGAGTTTGACAACTGTGCTGGCTCAGAGGTGGTATTCAGCAGGTTCTGACCAGTTCTGGAGAACCGGTAGCGGAAATTTTGAGTAGTTCGGAGAACCGGCAAATACCGCCTCTGACTGGCCCTGCCCTCATCTATTCTCTGCTTCCTGAGTCCCAGCTGATCGCCTGGGTCTTCTTTTGTTGCCCTGCACAGGAGAACGGAGCTGGAAAGCAGGTTAGGGGGTGGGGACGGAATGGGGATTTTGCAGTAACCTTCTCCCTGGAATGGGGTGGGAATGGGGATTTTACAGTATCCTTCCCCTGCCACGCCCACCAAGCCACACCCACAGAACCAGTATTAAAAAAATTTGAATCCCACCACTGATCTAACTGATCTTGGCTAACCTCAAATAACTTAATCAGGGTGAGATCCACTTAGAAAAACAGTTGGACATTCCAAAGCTGTAAGTTAGAGTAGGAAATAGAAAAATATCCTCAGAGAAGGCCCTTCTATATTGCCAAGGTTAGCTCTGTACTTATTTATTAGTGAGCAAATGGTTTTTTAAAAAGTCATACAAATGTGGCTTAATGTATTTGCCATCCAGCCTACTAATGTGATCACCATGTAGTTATGGGAGTTTCAGGATGGGGCCAGGTTAGAGAAGACTGAGAATTTTTTAAATATTTACTTGCTTTGTTTAGTAATACGTAAATAATATAATATCTCCATTAAACCACTTAGAGAGGGCTGTAAAGCACTGTGAAGCAGTATATAAGTCCAAGTGCTATTGCTAAATTAGTGGAATGACTTAAAAGTTGCAGTTGTATTTGGTACAGCTGTAAATGAATCCCAATAGAAAAAAGAGCTGACTGAAATACTCCCTTGTCCCCACAGCACTCTACTTACTGAAACCTCTAACCAATTTTATTTTGCATAATTTAGAACTTTTAGTACACTGGATTGGAGGTTTTTCTTGGCAGTGAATGTGTGTTGGCAAATTGTAAAAGAGAGATTTAGACCTGAGAACTCAAGCCCAAATTTGCAAGGTTGCCATAAACTTTTTCTCTCTTTATTGCCTAATTGTAATTTTTGCAGACCACTGTAAAGTTGCTTCTCCAGCACAAAGTGGCCAGGCCTGTCCCAGAAGCCTGTCCCAGACTTGACCATTCCTGGAAAAAGAGAGAGGGTTTTTTTTATTATTATTTGAAGATGAGATTCTGGTGGTTTCTGGGGAGGGTGAGGGAGAAATGGGGATGAATCAGAGACATCTTCCCTTATATTAAATGATGAGAGTAGAAGGAACTTCTAGACAACTAAAGTGCATTGCCTTGTCATTTTTCTTGGGGCTCACAATTTTAATTTAAATGATGAATTATTGAAATTACCCAGTTGATTCTCAGGTTTTCTTGATTGTTTTATTACGCCTTTCTTATGCAAATGGATCTTGGCTTCCAGATCCTCATCCTCTTTGTGTTAGTGTGTCAGAGGGGGTATTCAGCAGGTTCTGACCAGTTCTGGAGAACCAGTAGCGGAAATTTTGAGTGGTTCGGAGAACCAGCAAATACCACCTCTGATTTTACAGTATCCTTCTCCTGCCACGCTCACTAAGCCACGCCCATAGAACCGGTAGTAAAAAAAAATTGAATCCCACCACTGTAGTGTGTGTATATACTTTCAGTACTGTTTGACATCTAGTAAGGTGATCAACTTTTTTACAATGAGGAGGAGGACACAAATAAATTGAAGAAAAAAAACAAAGCCACTTGCGCACGGCACATTCTTGCACACGATACACTCTCTCAAAACAATTCTCCTGTGAAGTGCATGTATCTCTTAATCGCGTCTCGCCGCACTTTAAGACACATGGATTTCAACTCCCAGAATTCCCCAGCCAGCAAGTTGAAATCCATGTGTCTTAAAGTTGCCATGGTGGAGAACCACTGTTTTATAGGGGCTGCCCAACTCCACTAGCCACTACTAACACTACTAGTGGTTTTGGGGAAGTGCTAGTAAGATTAGCTAAGGATAGGCAGCTGGTGGCCCATGAGTCTGATTCCAACCTCCTGGTTCCCCGAGCAATTTAAAATTTGTGGTCAATTTGGTAAAACTCTGTTTTCAGTTATGAAGGAAACTTTTTCTAACACTTGTGAGAGTTGTCACGTCTGTGTTTTTTAAATGGATAATACATATGAACATTACATGAAGAATTGGCTGAACCAGTGGTGGGATTCAATTTTTTTTACTACCGGTTCTGTGGGCGTGGCTTGGTGGGCATGGCAGGGGAAGGATACTGTAAAACCTCCAGTCAGAGGTGTGTTTGCCGGTTCTCTGAACTACTCAAAATTTCTGCTACCAATTCTCCAAAAATGGTCAGAACCTGTTGAATCCCACCTCTGAGCTGAATGTTGTGTTTCTCGGAAAATATTAATTCTTGCTTGCCCATAAATTTCAGAAGTTTAATGTTATACATGAATACAATATCTTTGGGTTTGCTTGCTTCTATATTTGTTAAGAGAGGGTTGTGAATTGGCTTTTAGCCATTGTAGAGAACAGGTTGTGGTATTAAATAATTTCATTTCTCCAGGTCAGACTATTAATTCACTTACAATACTTTATATCACGGATTTCCTCTCTGTTGAATTCTGGGAAGGTTTTTTTTAGTTAGTAAATTTCTATCATGTCATTCTTTTAGTAATAGTAATACCAATAGCACTTAGACTTATATACTGCTCCATAATTCTGTATAGCACTCTCTGAGCAGTTTACAAATATCTGCATATTACCCCCAACAATCTGGGTCCACATTTAACATATTAACAGAGTTGGAGGTCATGTAGTCCAACCCCCCACCCACTCAGGAGACCCTACACCATTTCTGACAAATGGCAGTCCAATCTCTTCTTGAAAACCTCCAGTGGTGAAGCTACCACAACTTCCGAAGTATCAACCTCAGAAGGATGGTAGGCTGAATCAATCTTGAACCGGTCAGGATAGAATTTCTGGCTGTGGGCAGAGTCAGTCTGCAATACTACATTCTAACTACTGTGCCACCATGACTGGCATACATGCAAAGTTTGTATGTCTTGCTTCACTTTAATCCCCATAGCAGTGGCAAAACTGTAAGGTTGGATTACAAGTAACCCAATGAGCTCAATGGTCAAGTGGCAATTTGAATTTGGATCTCCCCAATCACAGCCCAAAACAGTAGGACAGTTATATATTGTTCTACTCCTCCACCATACCGTTTTATAAAAGAAAACATGGTGAACATGAATGCAGAGTGTGATCCTTAGCTCATAGAGCTATCCACGGCCAAGGGAAAACCTAAAGTTCTAGAGATGAACAATCTAAGCCAGCAGTTCTCAACCTTGGCAACTTTAAGATGTATGGACTTCAACTCCCAGAACTCCCCAGCCATCCATATTGAAAGCCAATCTAAATCCTCATTTGCAACCTACAGTTACATCTCATCAGCAATTCAGCTTGCAGAGTTAGGAAGAAATACTGGTGAGGCGGAGTGCTTAATCATAGCCCAACTAGGCTACAGAGTAATCTAATTTAGCTTTGCAAGAGAAGGCTTCATTAGTCAGAGATCAGAGAATGACGATATGACTGCATTGGGGCAATTGAAAATTTGAGCCAATAGTTCTCTTGGCCGAAAGAGACAAAGGGCTACAAATTTGTTTCTGACAGAGTCAATTTATTGGAGAATCTGATTGGCTTTTCCCCCCTTTGCTTCTTTTAAAATATACTAAGCATTTGGTTTAAAAGCCAATTGTATAATAATAAAGTGGAGGATTGGGGACAATGGGCAAACTCTGACCTGACTAGCATCCCACAAGTGTATATAATAATTTTTATGCATGGCCAAAAACACCCAAAAATAAAGTGCAGGTACTGTTTTAAATATTGGTATAAGATAAAAGTTTAACAAATAAAATAAATGGATTTTTAAAAAGATTTATTGATAAATATTGTATATAGTAAAACATTTAAAAACTCAAACTCATTACTTTCTTAGTAAATAACTTGTTTTTATAGCCATGTTTAAAAATTTGGCTGTCACCACTGTAATTTTAGGATTTTTGACTGATAGTTAAATTTTAATAAATTCAGAAATGCATCCTCTTGGTCTTGATTTTAAAATAGGCCAGATAAATATCATACTTAAAAAGTGCAATGAAATACAAGCCACAGTTTCAAAGTCAATACCATTACAGGGACAATATCTTTGAGAGATGGGAAACGTTTGAAAACTACTATATATTTGATGGTGACACATTTAATCTGGCTTGTCAAAAGGATTTTTTACATTTACTTATATGTAGCAATAGCAGTTAGACCTATATACCGCTTCACAGTGCTTTATAGTCCACTCTAAACAGTTTAGAGTCAGCATATTGCCCCCGAACAATCTGGGTCCTCGTTCTACTGACCTCAGAAGGATGGAAGGCTGAGTCAATCTTGAGCTGGTGAGAATCGAACTGCTGGCGGCCAGCAAAATTAGCCTGCAATACTGCATTCTAACCAATTGACGTAAACCTCTTGAGATAGAGATAGCTGAAAAGCATCATTGTAACTTATTACAGAGATCAGGAGTGAAGCCAGAGGTTTGATTAGTATAATATGTATAGGTCTTGCCTAGGTTGTCTGGGACTTGAGGCTCATGTGTGGTGTCTATAGAGTAGAGTCAAACAAATTTGAAATGGTGGCCATAACAAAGCAATCAAAACTGTGCCTGGTTTTAGTGTGAGTTTCAACAAAAAACAAACAAACAGGTGTTTCAATTTCCCATTGTAGCTCTGTCTGCCGCCTCCTCCTCATACTCTACAGATGTGCTTGGTTGGGATAGAATCCAAGAGCAGCAAGTAAAAGCTAGTTGTTATTTAACTAACACAGATGATGCTTGCACTTACATTGTTTGGTACCTTAGAGTGGTTTGTGTTGATGATAATGATCATGATGCTCATGTTAATATCCTGTTTTTCTGAGAGAGCCCAAGGCAATGTAAATTGGTAGGTCCCCCTGAATTCTTTCCCCATAATAACAGCATTGTTATTTTGGACTGAAAGAGAATGGCTGGTCCAAAGCCACTCAGTGATGTGGAAATATGGGTGGAGAAGCTCAAAGCAAATGGCAAAAGCCAATAAATAAGTAGGCTAAGATCTTCTGATCTGGCTTTGTTGCTTTAAAATGGGCAGTTCTAGGTTCTGCCTTGGAAAAAAATGTGGCTAGATTTTGAATATAGGGGAGATCAAAATCCTCTTTTATGAAATATTTGGAATTGGAGGCCAACTCTGTTTTTTAAAAGGCTTCTTCTCCATCTATCTGTAGACTAACTGCAGGAACATAACTGCTGTACTCATGTATTCCAGCTGATCCATTTAGACATATACGGCTTCATAGTGCTTTAAGACAGCGTTCTCTAAGCGGTTTACAGAGTTAGCATATTGGCCTCAATAATCTGGGTCCTCATTTTACCGATCTCAGAAGAATGGAAGGCTGAGTCAATCTTGAACCAGTAAAGATTGAACTCCAGACTGCGGGCATAGTTAACCTGCAATACTGCATTCTAACTATTGTGCCACCAGGGCTCCTAAATATTCCAAAAATAAAATAAAGTGACTGTGAAAAGTTCACCTCTCTTGGATAGAGAGAAACACTTGTTCATAAATGTGACATAAGTGCACGCATTCATTTCTAGGTCCAAATTACATATTTTTAGAAGTGGCATGAAAATTTGAGCAAACTTCTGAGTCACTTAGAAAGGGCAAAATTCTATCAAGAATAGGAAAAAAAATGAAGTCTTTTGATATGATTAATGAGATTGTCAGGGGGCTAAGCAAATATAACTTCAGAAATGCTTTATGGAGATATTTGTATCTCAGAAATGCACATTTTTCTTCTTTGTTTCCTTTTCTCTTTTATTATATTAGGTAAAAGGAAATCAACAAAGGCGTCCAGTTGCCAAAAGGCTAGAGGCTGCCTTTTTACCTCAGATGGCAGCTGCACAAAAGTGAAGTGAGCAGAAAAGGGCTTCCAAAGTCTTATGCTATAGAGACAGCCTTGCACTTTAAATGGGGCAAGAAACGGGAGAGGAATTGACGTAGATAGGTTTAGATCCATTTGGAGAGGGGAAAACGCAGGAAAATAAAAAGAGCAGGACAAGATTCAAACTCATCATCCTAGCGCAGGGGTCTCCAACCTTGGCAACTTTAAGACTTGTGGACTTCAACTCCCAAAGTTCCTCAGCCAGCTTTGCTGACTGAGGAACTTTGGGAGTTGAAGTTCACAAGTCTTAAAGTTGCCAAGGTTGGAGACCCCTGTCCTAGCCAATATGTAGAAGTAGTTCTCGACTTACAACAGTTTCTTTAGTAACTCTTCAAACTTACAGGGGCATTGAAAAAAGGGACTTATGACCTTTTTTCACACTTACAACCGTTGCAGCATCCCTATGGCCATGTGATCAAGATTCGGATGCTTGGCAACTGACTTATATTTATGACGGTTACAGCATCCTGATATGATTTGATCACCTTTTGTAACCTTCTGACAAGCAAAGTCAGTGGAGAAGTTGGATTCGCTGAACAACCATGTTGCTAACAACTGCAGTGATTCAATTAACAACTGTGGTGAGAAAGGTCATAAAATGGGGCAAAACTCATTTAGCAAGTGTCTTACTTAACAATAGAAATGTTGAGCTCAATTGTGGTCGTAAGCCGAAGACCACGTGTAACCTATGGGTGCTTGTGACTTGATTTGCTTTAAAATTTGATTCCAATTTAACTACTGGGACTTTGAGGACAATCGAAAGGAGGGGAGGTTATAAGACTGTGATGGCAAACCTATGGCATACCATTTGTGCTGGCACATGAGCCGCAGGCAAACTTACCTCACTGCACATGTGCACGCCTCACAGCTGATTTTTTTTTCAGTTGGTTTGAGGCCTTTTTTGGCCTCCCAGGCCTGAAAAGCCTTGCAGAGGCTTTTTCCAAGACTCTGGGCGGCCGAAAAAGGCCTCAAACCAGCCGAAAAATCAGCTGTGAGGTGCAGTGCAGGTAAGGGGGTAGCGGGGGGGATTGTGCGTGCATGCGCAGATGGTGTGGGGAGAGGGGCGCGCATTGCATTCTGGGTGCTGGCACACGAGTGTATGCGTGCTGGCGCACGCTCAATTTTTGGCACAGGAGCCCAAAAAGGTTAGCCACCACTGTTATAAAAGATACCACTAAAATAAAGGGAGAAGTTGTGCTGGAACCAGTTTAATTTGAATGCAGGTCTTGAACTTCTTCCGAGCACCATTCGAGATTCTTGGTTTTACTTGCTTGCAAAAGCCCCAAATCAGCCCTAACCCTATCTGGTATGTTAGATTTCAACCCTTTTGATCCAAAGGCCATCTTGTTATTGAGATTTATTGAAATTGAAGGCCAAAACATTTTCAGAACACCCTCCAATACAGACATTTCCCCTGGTGACAATCAACAGGATACTTGTATATCCTGTTATCAGAACTATATTTCCTAAATTGGGAGTCCTGCTATGTTCCTCCTTATATGTATTTTGGTGTGATGCCAATTCCCTCTGCTCTCCTCCCCATATTTTTTCCCCTGCTGTGTCTTTGTCTTAGGCTGTGGTACAGTTTCTCTTCTTTCTGAGGTCTTAATAGATGCCTTCTCCTTATTTTGCCTATTTCTTTTATATGTTTATTTCTTTAGTGTTTATATACCGCCAAATTATGAAAACTCTATTTGGCTCATAGACATAATAAATAAAAAAGACATTTAGATCCTGTCATACCACATACATTGTAACTAACAGCAAAGTGTAGGTGCTAATATAACTGTGCAGGACAAATGCCGCCAGACTTAAGGTTTGTGGAAGCACACCAGAAAGGAGTATTTTGAATTAAAAAAGCAACTTTTGAAGGAAAATCTTCTCAAAAGACTTTAGTGACAACTGAGCATGCTCACAGGCTGACAGGCTGAAATTCCTGTGAGAAAAAAATGATAATATTGGGGAAATGAAAGAGGAATAGAACAGTATATCCCGCAAAAGGGAATGGCTGAAGAGTAACATTTTTTAATGATTCCACTGATAGTATTTCAATTAATGATGCAGGTTTTCAGGGATGGGGTCGGGTTGGTGGGAGGTAGGAGAAGATAAGGAGTGATGGGATCTTCATAGACCAGTGTTTCTCAACCATGACAACTTTCAGATGGACTTCAACTCCCAGAATTCTCCGCCAGCATGTCTGGCTGGAGAATTCTAAGAGTTGAAATCTACATGTTTTAAAGTCACCAATATTGAGAAACACTTTCTTAGATAGTGGGTGCTGGGTGCCCAGGGTGGGGGGGGCGGACTATTCAACTCCTTGCATGCTCTCAGTGAGCTATTCAAATAACCTTTTTTTTTAATTTTGTTCCTGCAGGGAGTCGCAGAGGCTGAACTGGAGAAAGATATAATCCGAACTCTGAAGATTGTGATCCGATCTAGCAGGAAGGAGGTCAGTCCTCTGCATGAATGGTTTTGTCCAAAAGGGGAAAGAGGCAATCTCACATGGTATTGGATGCTAAAAGTCTGTAAAGAAGTACTTTAGAAATGATGGTTTTGGACAAGTTACGCTCTTTAGCTTAGATTAGCACAACTACGGTCAAAAATACATTTTTCAGTTGTCTAGCATAGGAATAAGGAGGAGCAACCTAGAATGCCTGGTGGATTTCTGGTTAAGAGAACATTGAACATTGAAATGATTTCTCCATTTCGAAACAAAAACAACAATCAAAATGTTTTATTTTTTAAATTAATCTTCAAAATAAAAGGGTAAACGAAGATTCGGTTTTTAAACAAAACCAGAATTTGCACAGTTGGGGAACTGAAAACAGATTTCTAGGCTTAGCATTTGTGGGTGGCATCATGACTTCGACTTAGAATAATTGTATTGTCACTTTGAATGTACACTAATCGGCATACATTAAAATGAAATTTCGTTGCATACAGCTCTCAAAGGGTCACCATCTCCTATATAGACTATATAAACATGACTAAATAAATAAATAACTATGTATATACCTACATATATTATATGACACAGAGAAACAACACAGTCTAGTTCAGATGTACATGGCGAGAAAAACAAATCTTGCAAGTTTACCAGACGGATGGCATACAGGACGGTGCTATTACAGAATCTGGTAGTCCTGCTAGAAATATTTCAAAACCTCCTTCCAAAAGGGAGCAACAGAAACAGATCATGAAATGAGTGTGTCTTAACAGTGTGGGGGTCCCTAACAGTGCTTTGAGCTTTAAACATATAGTGCTTATAAACAATGTCCTGAATAACAGGAAGTGAGCTTCCTATAATCTTCTCAGTTTTCCTTACCGCTCTTTGTATGGACTTTCTATCTGAAGCACTGCTGCCACCAAACAAAACAGTGATGCAGTTTATTAAAACACGCTCAATTGTGCCTCTGAAAAAAGTGGCCAGGACAGAAGGAGAAAGATAATACTGTAGTAGTGAGCTCAGGATAATTTGACATAAAGGGTAGCACTATTTGGCTGCTAATGCTGCGTGAATTACGCCGATTTGATTTAACTGGCACAATATTATGCCAAATGCAAAATTAAGGATTTCCTTGGATTAAAATCAGTTTAACCACTGAAATAAAAACTGACTCAATATTTCTTCGTGGCTCAGTTATCAGCCTTCTCTGATCTGCCCTAAGGTTTCTTACTTTTGCCACATTTCATTCAAAATGTTCTCCTTACAGGATGAAATAGAAGGACCTTCTCTTAGTACAGCTGGAGTTAGGAAGCGAGGTAAGACATTGTAACCCTCCATCAATAGAGGTTAAATGCTAATAATTTCAATTTAAAAAAAATGGGATGGGAAAATTCTAGAAATCCAGAACTGTAGACTAGACTGGGAAGTTGAAAAACAGCCGAGAAGATGGTAATGGCAAACCACATCCATATTCCTGCCAAGAAAACCCCATGGACACAAGAATTTGACAGAGTATATTTACCCTTTATTTTAAAAATTATTCTCTTACCACATTGAAAATTGCAGTTGGCAGTGATTTCTGTACAGTGATTTCTAGATGCTGCAATCAAATGGGAGGGGGGACCCAGTTGTGCCTTCTTATTTAAATAGTGTTACTACTCTAACAATCCAGTTTTTTACTTTGAATTGGAGTGTTTCGTGCATTGAAATAGGTAGCAAGACAGTCTGATCCAGTGCTAGGAGAGTGGGCTTGCATTTTGGCTTTTACCTTTTGCAGGAAAGCCTTTTTATCTGTTCTAAGAAGCCAAGCGCATTGGACAGCTCTGCCTGGAAGGTTTTGTGCCTCTGTATCGGTGCCAGATAGTTTTAAAATGATTCAGGAAGAGAAAAAGGTTGATACTAAGCATGAAGTTTAAACAAATGAAGGGGTTTATTCTAGAAGAGCTTCCTAGCTCAGATTTAAGCTCTCACAGTTTACATCTGACGCAGCAATATTGCAATACTTCTCATTTCAATCTTTTCTGTGATGCAGGGGGGCTGTTTGTGGGACTTCCTGAAGACCCACCTCCAAGTTCTCTTCTTCCAGAGCCAGTCCTCCAATACTATGTACAACAATATCAAAAATCTGGATTCAGGTAATGTAGCTTTGGGTGTGTTCATTTTGGTTTTATTGGTGTGCTCAATACCCATATTATTTATACTGAAGCAGTGATTTGCTAGTTTCATTGCTGGAGACAATGAATGGTGATGGCCGCTAGACTATATATGGGCAAATTTATGTAAGATGTAAGAAGAGGCACGTTCTGTTAGATATTGCCGAGAACAAACCATAGGGGTTGGTAAACCATCATGCTCAAAGATTTACAACTGTTGAGCTGTGGAGAAGAGAGAGAATTGGGAGAGATATAAAAGAACAGGAACTCAATAAACTCTCATACAATTATTTTCAACCAATGTCTTTTAAATTTCAATGGCAGCTGGTTTAATCCACACAAGGGATAACTAAAACTGATTATATGTTCAAATGCCACCACATTTAAATGTACCCTCAGTCTCCTTCCTCTTTGTTTTTGCTCCTGGTTTTTTTTTTCTCTTCTCTGTCTATCACTTTCTTGAAGCAGGAAGCCAACCCAACCAGCCGTTTTTAATGCAATGCAGAATTTTGTGTTCTGTTGGGGGGGATGAGAGGTGAGAGGAGAGCTAGGAAATGACAGGCAGCAACTGCCAGAAAAGTTGTCTTTGCTCCCAGTGTCAGCCAAGAAAAGAAAGAAAGAAAAGATACAAATCTGTCCCTCCAGTGTTACTGATCATGAGTGAGATAGTGGAAAATCGCTTTAGCTATACATGCTTGTATTGGGAGGACTCTGTATTTGGCATAGATGCTTGAAGTTTGGTGGTGGCCCAGAAAAATGTATGCTAATTCCTGGTGTTTTTTTTTTCCTGCCTTTTTCAGGGGTCCACTGAACTGGTACCGAAACATGGAAAGAAACTGGTCATGGGGTGCTTCTGCCCAGGGTAGAAAGGTGAGGGTGGAAGGGAATATTAAGCAGCCTTGGGCTTTCAGGAAGGAAACTCCCATAATGGTTCTTTTTGGGTTTTTTGCATTGCACAGAGCTCAGAAACTTCCCATAAAAACCTTCTAACTCTGAAATAGATCCCATCCCCTTCTCCTGAAAGAGTGAATCATGACCAACATTGACTGATGTTGAGTAGAGTCAGATGTGGTTATAATACACGGATGAGGGAACTCCAGGAAATCCCAAGGCAATACTATAGGCTGGGAAGGAGAAACAAAAATCAGAAGGTACTCAAAATCCATATAGACAGTGTGTTGTCTGGTTACAATTCTTTTGAGTAATAATAAGTAATGGATTTTGAACATGTTGCTCTTTCTATTTATATTAATAAAACAATTTAAGAAATCAGAAGGTACTAATGAAACATCAGTTCCATATTATTGCTGAGAAAGTTACAAAGACATACCTAAAAATCTGTCTCAGTTCAAGAGATACATTGATATATTGAAGGATCATAAGTGAAAAGGGCTGCTGATAGAAAAGAGCAAGGCTGAAATGAAAATTTGATCTGGCCATCCCACACTATTGTTTTGTTTTTGTTGTTGTTTTCACACACAAATACTGCCCCTAGCTATACACACAAATGTGTAGACATTAATACACATTTCTGTAATTTATATTGGGGGAATATTTGCTCATTCCAATCAAGATTTTTTCTTTCCTTCACTGCATGCTGTAGGCAATGCATTCCTTTCCACTGTGGTATAGAGTAGCCCTTAGACTTGTAATTTCATGTACCAATATTACTTTTGATTTACTTTCCTTGCCTGCCTGTTGAAAGATTCTAAGAATCTTGAGGTAATTTTGATGGGTTCTTTACATGTTTCTATCCTAAACTCTTGGGTGTCAAATTTGGTTCAAGTCACCCAGCAATCTTCATGTGAACTGAAAGATTCAAAAGCAATAGCGATAGCACTTAGACTTATATACTGCTTCACAGTGCTTTTACAGCCCTCCCTAAGCGGTTTACAGAGTCAGCCTATTGCCCCCAACAATTTGGGTCCTCATTTTACCCACCTCGGAAGGCTGGACGGCTGAACCAACCTTGAGCCTGGTGAGATTTGAACTGCCAAATTGCAGTCAACTGGCAGTCAGCAGAAGTAGCCTGCAATACTGCACTCTAACCACTGTGCCACCATGGCTAAAATCCAAATTATTCTGTTCTTCATCCAACCCTGAGTTGCATTGTCTGTACTATTACCATTTTTCTAATGTTCAATAATTAAAAGCATGTATCTATTTCCCATAAATCATTTCAAAGCTGTTATAGACTGTTTTAACAATTTCCCTCTAAGCTATGCATCAATCAAGATTAAAAGCTCGTGTCTTTTCCTGGAAAGTCCCACATTCAGTTTAATCAGATGCTATTATTTGGATTCTATGTGTACTCAGAATCATATTTTCCCTTTCCATCCAGCCTTAGTTGAAAGAGCAAATGCAAAAATATAAAACGGAAAGAAAAAATAAAACAATAAAATTGAATGAAAGCTGCCTTTACCAATTGCACAGCTTAATAGCCAGGAATGTGTGGATTCTGTCTTAAATTGTAAAGGCAGTGTAAGTTCTCTACCTAGCAAAGCCTTAATCATCTCATCAGCATCCCTCTTTGTCAAGCTATAAGATTAAGCTATTGTTTGGAATGACAAGAAGCTGTCATGGGGATGAGTTGAGCTTGCTTTGTGCCCGTGCCTTCTGGTGAAAACATTCTTCATTCATGTAAGAGTTACAGTATTGGATTCCTGCAGGGATAGAAAATCATTTTGAATTAGTGGGTGCAGCCAAGATGCTGACAACATGATGGGGAAATGATTGCCATGGCTTGCTTATTCACAAAATGATGCTGCATTGAGGTTGGGTGGGTCATAAAAGTTCATTCCTGTGAAAAGAAACTAGGGAGGGGGCTGTCTGACTCTATAGAATGATCTCTAGCACCCCATCTTGCTTTTATCTTTTATTGGAAATAATAGGCATATTTTCAGATACGGCACTAAGTATGATGATATGTAATTTTGCTGACCTTTGGATTACTGGCTCATTAAAGCAGTGTTTACTTTTTTAGAAACACCTCAGCCAGAAAAGAGATGGGAGTGTTTGAAGAAAATAGCTGAAAGGTGCAGTGCTCGTGTGATTTCCAGGCCACTTCTGAAATTTCCAAAGGCTCTTTAGCAGAGGTGTCAAACTTAAGGCCCAGGGGCTGGTTAGATCCGGCTCATGGGACTGACCTGGAAACAGTGAAGGACTGGCCCGCCGTGACTCTGCTAGTGAAAATGGAGCTTGGGAGCCTGTTTTAACTGGTAGAGTGCTTGGGCCACCACAGGTGCTCCCAACATGAGTGACGTCAAGCTGGCCACCCACATCCCCACCCCCACCCCCAAGGTAAAACACAACCCTGATGCAGCCCTCAATGAAATTGAGTTTGACATAGCCTTCCTGCTTTATAGTCTTCTACTGTTGTTTTATTTTTCCAGATTTTCCAGCCTCAAGCTTTTAACAAATGCCTATGGCCCTGCGGATCAGATGCAGTATATTAATCCTGTATCTGAAAAAAATGGGATGCAAGCCCAATGAAGTTTATTCTTCCATACCATGTTAGTGTTGTAAAGTGCCACAGACTATTGTTGAGGGAAGAGCTTGACGGGCAAAGCAAGAGCCAATATTAAGACAAGGGTCAGATAAAAGAAAACTAACTCTGAGGCAAAAATATAACCCGAGAAAGTGTCTCAGAAAGGATCATGCTCATGAATAAAAAGGAAGAAAGAGGGAAGTGCATTCAGGCTTGCAATATTCTATTACTACGGCTGTATAATACAAGTAGGATTGGCCTACACTCTAGTTTTTTCGTCTGATCTGCCTTGAAGAGCTGACACCTCAGCTGCAAACATAGCAATTTTGAGAGAATTTGCACTACAACCATAAATCATCTTTTCTAAATATTTATGAACAACTTTACAGTGACTTTGGTCTCCCAAGAGCAATTATTTCTTCAAATTTGACCACTGCCCTGTACTTCAGTTTCTTCTCTGAGAAAGCCCCTAATTTTTGTCAACATATTAATATATAGCTGTTAACATGTAACTGAAGTGTTCACATGTGCAGCGTTTGCTGATCCACCACTGCATATGGTTCCATTCATCTCTAAATCCACAGATCACAGTTCCTGCCCTGATGGTCACTGCTGGAAAGGACAAAGTTCTCCATCCAGGAATGAGCAAGCACATGGAGAATTGGGTGAGTAACAGATGTGTTGCCCTTTCCATAACTAAACAAATGCAGTCGATCAGAGGGCGGGACGGTGTCTCTCTACATTGAATTATACTGTTTCATTTCATGGAAAGGAGCTGAAGGGATTCTTATTACTGGAGCTGCTGCAGCAGTTCAAGGTCAAACGATGATTGTTCTTTCTTCCTCTCAAGAGGTTTTGAGATTGACAGACTTGAATATCATTCACTGCTTTTGAAAATTTGTAGTGTGAAAGCCAGGGTGATATGAGGGTGCCTTTTACCTCCTGGTTTGTCTCCTCATAAAAGTCATCCCAACCTTTCATTTCACTGTATTTCGTTCTTCTGTTTAAGAACCACCAACTAAATAGTGACTCCTTAGTTATTACACATAGGCTTAAGTTTCTTGAGACAGGGGAAAAGCTCAAGAATACCACTGAATTAGAGTTATTTGTCATCTCATTGTAGATCTCATTGTAGATGAGATGACACAGTTCCTGACTGACATGTCTTGTCATAGCCAAGGGACCTTTCTGGTTTCACAAAACAGCAAAATGGTTTCAGTTGGCCATGACGTGTACCTTTTTCCTCCCCCTAGATTCCCCAATTGACTCGTGGCCATATTGAAGATTGTGGGCATTTCACACAAATAGAAAGGTAAGTAGTATTGAGAGCTAAGTTGAAGGAGGGAAGCAGACAGACAGACAGACAGACAGACAGATAGCTAAGGTAAAGGTTCCCCCGCACTTGCATGCTAGTAATTTCTGGCTCTAGGGGCGATGCTCATCTCTGTTTCTAAGCCAAAGAGCCTAAGAAATAGATGGATAGATGCAAATAATTTATTTTAAAATGCATGCCTATAAAAAGCACATTAGCTTATTGTTCTGCATAAGTTGTTGAGATTCATTGTTAAATGATCTGCATCAACATTCCTTTCAAATTCAATTTAAGTATTCTTGAGAAATTCAAGGAGGTGGGGGGTTGTCACAGCATGAACCAATTTAATCTGCATCTCCAACATTATACAGTGATCATAACTTAAGTTATTCACTGGCATTTTTGGTGTCAGGCATAGGAAATCAAGAGCCAGGATAAAATTCAAAAGCACCTGAAAGTTTATTTCATATTACCTATTTGCAAGAATCTGATCTACTAGCAGTCAATGAAAATAGGCACAAGAAAAGAGTCAATGGACTTCAAAGGGTCTCTTACGGGGGCGTAATGGCTCCAAACCAATGATGCGTTAGACCCCATCTTCGGGCTCAACCTGGTCATCTCCTACATTTGGTTCCTGAATATTTTGATTCAATCTTTGACTCAAAACACACATCCTAATGTTTTTATAATTTTTGAGAGAAATTTCATTTAGAAATGCCCATATGAATACATTTTTAAATATATATTTAACTGTTTAAGTACCTTTGGATTGCATTTTAAAAATGTCAATTAGAAGTAGGATGAAATGCACTTACTGGATGAACGTATATAAAAGAATGTGAATATAATTTTTATTAGAAAGTTTAATTACAATAATAATTAATGCCAACTAAACTTAAGAAAAGAGAATGGAAGGAAAGAATAAAAAGTCCAGGAAAAATGAAGAAAAGGGAAAGAAAGAATATGATAAAAAAGAAAAGAAATATATAAAGTGACTTACAATTTTCATTACAGTATAACTCTTCAAGAGACCAATATCTCTTCCTCCCAAATCCCATCCCTGTACAGTACCTTGAAGATCACGATTTAAAGTAAATAAAAGAAATCTGGAATTGAACAGCACAAGATAGAATTGGAAACTGAATTATGTGCAAATCATAAACGTGTACAGGTAGTCCTTGATTTAGGACCCATTGCTTAGCAACACTTTAAACTTACAGCAAACCCACCAAAAGCTATTTATGGCCTGGTCTGAAGTTAGGCCAATGCAGCACCCACATAGTTATCTGCCCTTACAACTGACCAGAGGGATGCTGCGGGATAAAGATATTTGTTTCGAGAGCTGAGAACTGTTTAGTGTTGCTAAACACTTCAGATTCTTGGTCCATCTAATCCAGGGGTGTCTTCAAACTTTTCCATCTGAGAAGTTGATGGAGTTAGCAGAGATGGCTAAATTGACTGCTTTGATGAAAAAAAAAAATAGTAACTACTTTTGTTTCTACTTGAAAACCGCTTCTGGACTTTGTGCTTGAGGTGGAAAAAAAATGAAACCTTGATTTTGGGTTTTGCCGATTAGATAGATTTGTTCATATAGAAATGGCTAGCTTATACTATTATGTAAAAGTAAAAAAATTGAGGTTTGATGTTACTATTTATGTTGCTGCACCAAAGGGAGTCAGAAGTCAATGCCTTTTCTTTCTTTTTCCTTTCCCCTTCTTTTCTATACTCTTCCCTTCCCTTTTCTCTCCCCTATTTTTCCTGATATATATATTGTTTTGCTCAATGTGCTATGATTCACAACAACAGCAAAAAAAAAAAGAAATGTGACAACTATGAAAAAACATGGTCATGCTTGTTCGAAGAAATAATATAAGAAAAATATAAGAAAATGTCAATTATTAGCAAACATAAAAATAGAGAGAAACTATACTAGTTCAGGCCAGTACTCAACCAGTCCAGATTTCTCCTCCCCCCTCAAGCAAAGGAAGTAATCCTCCAGCTGGCATCCTCTTCCCCATACTCCCAGCCCTAAACCAGTTTGGATGGGACTTTGTTTGCATGGGGGGGGGGGAAATGATTCCAAGAGGGAGTCCCTCTCTGGCAAAGGAAGCAACTCTCCAACCAGCTCAGAGAAGGTACAAATTTTAAAAATAAAGAAGCTTCCCATTCTTTGTCTAGCAACCCTCCGCTGTCTCACAACACACACACCCCATCACAGAAATCAAAGGAATCCTCTCTTCCTTTCCAAACATGGTGAATACAATCCTGCTTTCTCTCCCTGCGCTGTTTGGAAAGGATTGGAGCACAACACATGGGATGAGCTGGCAGGCTTGAAGGAAGCTTCTGGAGGGCCGATTGTAGCCCGTGGACCCTAGTTGGGAGACTCCTGATCTAATCCAAGACTGAGATCTCCCAGGTTTTGGACAGAGATGTATGTTTGTGTGTTTGTGTATGTATGCAAACATGCATGTCAGCAGAGTTACAGATGACCCAAAACTTTTATCGAAGACTTCTGTATGTTAAGGCACTCTGTGCCCCTGTGTGCAAACTGATGCTTTATTTATGCCATAAAATCTTTTGTCTCATTCTGTCTACCTCTTTCCTGCTCTGTTGTTCACCTGCTTTTTATAAACTGCCATCTTCTTGATGTCATGGTAGTTCTCTTTTTTTAAAAAAAAAATACTGTTAAAAAGGCCATTACGTGAGATACCGGCTGAAATTATATATTGGTAGCGTTCTTACACAAAGGATGATAAATTCAAATAAAGAATGAATAAACTGCAGTAGGAAGACGGATTATTTTAGTTCCTCGTAAAAATCAAATGCGTCTTTCACATCCCACATTTTACAATATGGCTTAAGTTATCACTGGTTAAATAGGATGGAAAAATATGCTTAAAAAGTATGAAGTGGGTGAGGAAGCACTAGAGACAAATTGAATGGTGAAGTGCATGCAGCTGTATTGCCGCCTGTAGGCAGAAATATCAAAATACTGTACATTTAGGTGCCTTTAAAAATGGGTTGATTTGACTAAAATCACACGGATTCAACCAAATGGAAATTGGATTGTTCTTGTAGTTCTTTTTAGCTTCTTCTTATCTGACACTTTTTCTCAGTGCTTACCTTTGGCTAGGGACTATCTATGGAGTCCTTGGTTGTTCTCTTGCAGATATTTCATTACCTGACTAAGTAAACAAAGTCAGTGCTAGTGTGTGTGGGGGGTTTGCTCCCTGTTTAATATAGTAGTTTGCTTTGCCAGTGTCAGTAAGGATGTAGCTTTCTCCTTGGCAGTGCCTTGATTGGGATTTTGATTTCTGTTTGATTGTCTGGTTTTAATCTCTGCTTATTTGGATATCAGTTGCTAGAGAAGATGTGTTCTGTTTTATTTATTTCTTAACTTTTTTATTGCCTCTTTTGAATGGTTTGCAAATGTAGTTTGTCTCTGTGTGTCTGTTGATGACTGATTTGTCTGAATGCCAAGTTTCCAGGAATTCCCGATCATTTGGGGTTTAGCTTGGTCTACAATGGTCAGTTTATCAGTTGAAACTATGGTAGATTCTGTCCATGTGTTGTGAAATTAAACAGCTTTCATCCTGACTGCTTCTTGATGTTCATGATTGAATTCTGCTAGTTTTCTGCCTGCCTGTCCTAAATAATGGCAGTTATGGTAGAGTGCTGGCCAAATTCTTATAGGGTTAGAAGTTCTCAGTTGGTAGCAAATCCCATTCCCAACCTTGAAAAGAAATAAATCATTCAACTTTAGTATTCAGAGGAAATCCAGGGAGAAGGAGTTATGGACCAGTTTTGTCGAAACTTAGAGACCTAGGCAAATATAGATTCTATGTGGAAATGGACAGTAGGGCAGAATGTTGAGGGCAATGGTCAGCCAGAAGACTGAAAGTCTTATTACATCCAGGGCAATTTCTTATATTGATGCTCAAAAGCTAGCCTATTTATGTTAATGTAGAGATGATGTTGAATGGGTTAAGATATATAAAATGCAAAAGTCTAAATAAATAATGTTCCAAAATTGGCATGGCAGGTATTTTACATTCCTACTCTGCATCCTGACATTTGGGTTTTTCTTTTGAGGATCAAATGAGAAAAGGCTCGTTTTTTTATACCATATTGAGATTCCAGAGGAAAGGCAGGATATAAATGTAATGCAAATCCAAATTCAGTCTGAATACTAGTCACACATTGGGAAAGGAAAGTAGACACGACAGTTTTTTGCAATTTTGAGCAAAACATATGCTTCGCTTTGATAAAGGTTTAGAGAGCAGAATTCCCAGCCTGTAATCCTCTAAATGTGCTGAATGTCAATTCCCAGTTTCTCCAATCATCATAGCTGACTGGGGGCAGTCTGAGAACTGAAGTCAATTCATCTGGAAGGACCCAAGCAGAAAGTTGGTTTATAATTCAGTTTTCAGTCACCACAGTGGATCAGATCTCTTGTTCTTTTATATCCTCTTTATTTCTCTGGGTGCATGAGAAAATAAAATTAAAAAGCTTGCAAGGAATCAGAAAAATGTGCTTCGCATTAATTTGGGTTCTTTGGGAACTAAATTCAGTTTTCCCTCCCATGAGCATCTGTATGTACAAATACACACATTGCAAAATACATGCCTTGCCAACATGTATTTTCTCTGCAGGCCTGCAGCTCTGAACAAAATCCTGATTGAATGGCTGGAAGATGTTCACAAAAATGCTTCACTGCAAACAACTGCCAAGCTTTGAAGAGGACTTCAGCCCACAAATTGCTATTGTTGATTTATGATCCAGTTATAGTTTCCCTAACATATTGGAATCAAGTTTCAATCCTAATTTGTGGGAAGCTTAAATCATATCTTCTCAGTTCAGATGAATCTAAAAGTAATTTAACAAACTCAGGATGCATTACTGAAGCAGGCACAAGGCAGGACAAAAACGTTTGATTAATTATGTGATTGGGGATGGGGTTACTCTCCAGATGGTAGTATCAATTTTATTATGATAGATGATTTGGGCTGTGGCAGATGGGAGTTGTGCTCAGAAACTTCTGGAGAGTCAATTCTGATTTGCCACCTGTACTGTAGTTTCTAACTGTGAGATTTAGTTTAAATTCATGATTATGAGCTTTCAAGTGTATATGTATTGCAACAGTCCGAACACATTTCTGAAAAGATACTATTGATTAGAGTTTTTCAAATTGTGTTCCACTGGAACCCTAGGATTCCACAAGAAATTGATGGGGTTTGACAAATGAATGAGGAGAAAAGTTTATTCAAACATGGCTAAATTTCTACCACTGGGATTTCTGGGAATATTTTTTTGCCTTTAACTAAGAAATTTTGGCTGAAAAAGTTTGAAGATGCCATATATCCACTATTCATTCTAGGAGCTGTATTTTTTCCTAGAATCGCAGGGAGAAAAGATGGCTCCATCAAAGAGGAGCCCACAAATTGCTATTGTTGATTTATGATCCAGTTATAGTTTCATACATTTGCACTTCTGCATGTTCCAAACCCCCCACCTTTTGTGAATTGAACCTGAAGCGCTACATGTATGTGTTGTGTAGCCATGTTGAGCAAGCACTTAGAGAACACGAAGCCCTTCTGAATTTCTTGTCAAAGTAGAAGGACATGGAACATAAACAGAAATATTTCTCTGCATACTTTGCAAAAAAAAAAATATGGACACTCCTTCTTTCAGCTCAGGTTGGTCTGTATTTTTCAGCAGAGATTTCAAATTTGGTACTGATAGCCAGAATTTTTTTCTGCATATTGGTGTTCTTTGGTACTGCTGACAACATAATTGGTTTCTGAAGAAGCACAGCTTCTGTTACTTTTTCTTAAAATAAAGCAGCCTTTAAGGCACTGTTTCTCAACCTCAGCAATTTTAAGAAGGGTGGAATTCTGGGACTTGAAGTCCACCCATCCTTAAATGAACAATGACAATGGTTGGAAACTCTCGTCCGTCTCTTAATTGGTTTTGGATGATGATGCTTAAGCTAATACCTTCCACCCAGGGTTTGAGGAAATGTTGACTAGAGTTTCCTAAACTTGGCAACTAAGATGGGTGGATTTCAACTCCCAGATTTCATACTGTTTGAGGAATTCTGGAAAATGAAGCCCTATCCACCTTAAAGTTCCCACGGTTGAGAAACACTGATTTAAGGTAATCACAAGCTGGTTTGGAATTCTGGGAGTTGTGACAAAAATAATGGAATAGATTTGAGATCTTATTTTTTACATACTGATATGTGCCTTGTTAGAGAATAAAGCCCAGTGTCTTCACTGAGGTGCCACCAGAAAATGCCTGGTCAGCATTTGAGTAGTACATTCTTGGGTATGTGGTTATGTGCTATTATTTGTAAAACACCAAGCAATAGAATAAAGTTTTGGAAACATTATTCTTGTGTTGTTGAATAAAGTTTGCTGCAGAGGGAAATGTATCTACAACATATTCATTCATAGAAGCAATTTCAGGGATTTACTGGTGACTTAAGCACATAATATTTAATATCTTGGTTTGCTTCAGTGTCTAGTTTCTTATAACTTGTGGTGCAAAGCCATGGTGATGGTTCTTTGCTTTTGACTTTACTTATGTCTGTCAAACTATGTGGGATCAAAATAAAAGCTTTTGAATTAAGTATTCCTTTTGCAATCAGAGTTCTTTTCCCTTGTCTGTAGAAATCTGTTGTCTTTCTGGTAGAGCACTTATTGTGCAAGATGCTTAAATCATAAAGTGAGCAATGGAGCAAGAAGATACCAGAGTTGATACTAAATTATATTTTATTTCAGCAAAGGCTCACAACTAACATAGTGTCAAAAGATTCAGGGTAAAAAATTATCAGATACTGTATACATACAGTACATAATATAAAATTTAAAAATTGAGCTGGAATTCATATGTTGGCAGTTCTATATTCTGGCCCTTATCCAGCTATTCAAACACATGAAGAGCATACAGGTTAAAGGCCCATTCCATAGTAGGTATTGTATATGGGGGACAATCTTTTCACATGTCATCTTTGTTGTCTTGTTCATCAGGCTCTACTCGGAGAAATAAACGTTGATAACAAAACAAAAACATTAGGCATCTTTCAAAATGTAGCAGGAGTTCAATTTGTCATCCAATTTAACTTTAGCCATATCTCAATCCCTCTATTATCAACTAAGGGATGTACAGGGAGATGTTCACTGATGGCTACTATAAATGTCAAGATGCATGCATGAAGTTCTTTAGGACATTGTAAGCAGAATTTTCTTGCACTGGCTACTTTGAACATTGGTTTTCAAGGCATAAAGAAATGAGACATTAAAATCATGTGTAAGCCCATCGGATTCTTTAGATCGCTGCTGGTGAACACTGTTGGGTATTTGTTTCAACTATCTTTCTTGATATCCTTCTAAAATTTGACTTAAGGTGGTGATTAGATGCCGACATCTAGTGAATAAAACATCTTCATCAATTGCTCCTCTTGAATTCCTTCTGAAATGAGAAATGTTCCTTAAAAGCTAGTACTCTTAAGAGGACAAGGATCCTTTTGATTAGAGTCCTTTAACCTAGCATCTGGCCTCTAATAGACCAACAGGCTCAGTTCCTAATATATCCAATGTCTATTTTATGGACTCTACAACCTATCCGCATTTATGCTGACAAAATTGTACAATGAAATAGATAGTTTTTCAAGAACTGTCATGAAAATCATGTATGTTAAGCTACCTACAAGCTTGATAAATCTATGTTACTTTAAAAAAAAAAATTAAAGGAAAAACCAGCAGGCCTAAGAATGTTAATTTTAGTCTTTCCAGTGATCAAAGCAATAGAGGGTACAGACAAATTGCAGTGGGGAGGGGCTTGAATTTTAACATAAGCAGAGGAGAACATTGGTTTAAAAGAAATCAGAACAGCAATGACAGGATAGTTGATAGCACATTCACCGGTGGGGATTGGGTGGGCACTAAAATATCTAAGGAGTCAGGTGAAGCCAGGAGTAAAAAAATAACCTGTGGAATGAGATGCACAAGTGGAAAAAAATCTGGCTTTCCATGGTCAGGGGGTAAGTATGAAGATTTTACATACAATCATGAAAAAAAGGAAATATGTCACTCTCTGCCTTTAGGATATTTAAAGGTATTTGTATACGCCTATGCAAGTAAACACAAATAATAGAATGAATGGCTCCTGAGGCTTGCCTACTGAGAAAAAGTGGAATATTCACCTGGCTCCCCCAAAATAGGATGCTGAATGCCCCAGTTCACTTATAGCACTAGCAATAGCACTTAGACTTATATACCACTTCATGGTGCTTCACACACCCCTCTTAAGCAGCCAACATATTGCCCCAACAATCTGGCTCCTCATTTTACCCACCTCGAAAGGATGGAAAGCTGAGTCAACCTTGAGCTTGGTGAGACTTGAACTACCAAACTGCTGGCAGCCAGTGATCAGCAGAAGTACCCTGCAGTACTGCACTCTAACCACTGTGCCACTGCGGCTTATTCTTGTTAACTGCAGGCTATGCCCATCCAATGAAATTGGTTGATAGGAAGCCAAGAAGGACAAAAAAAGGCCACACTGGGTTAGTGGATGGATATGCCCTCTGACATGAAAGAGAAAAGTAAGAACAAGAAGTCTTCTCAGAAAAAGATCAGAGAGGTACACCTGGCCTGGCCAAGCCTTTCAATTAAGTACCTGAAATGTCCATGAAGTTGCCAGGAATCAAATCCAGATCTATTTATTCTCAAGTCAAATTCACACAGATTCTGTGCTCCCCCATTTCCTGAGCACATTCTCCGTGATCCTGTCTGTCAGGGGCTTCAAACTCATGTCACAGCACATGATGTATTGGGACTTTTTTCCCCTTTCGTTACACTGGGCATGGGCGTGGCCAGTGCATGGCGCATCTGGCCAATAGGCCAGGAGTTTGACAGGCCTGGTCTATATCATCATCTATCTTTAACCAATTTGTTGCAATTTCCAAGCATTAGAGGTGCTCAAAAGTTGTGACATGCCTTGGGGATTGTAAAGATATTTTGGTTACTTACATATAATTTAGATATTCTTGGTAAGTAACTGCATAAATAACACGACTTTTTAACATTTTGTTTGATTCATTATAACCATGAGTTATTTCTTTCACCCAGTTTCCTGAGTTTGCCAGATTCACTGAACCATAAGTTACATGTATGTTGTCGTGTCCGTCGCGGAAAGGAAGCTCGGAGTCAGTGACTTAGTTTCAGCTCTTTATTGGCTCCGGATACAGCTTAAGCTTGAAGGGGAAAACTGCGGCTTTTTATTTCCGAGCCGCGGCGGCCGCGGCCAATGACACCGCTTCGAATCTCCCGCGATTAGTTTCCACCAATCACGGGGGATTCGCAACGGGCCAATCAGTGCGGCTCGCTCGACCAATCCGGTCGCCGCGCGCTTTAGCCAATCGCGACGCGGGGCTACGAGTATGTAAATTGACTTGTACAGAACACCCCTCCCCTCTTGGTTCGGTCCTACGTAACGTAGTCCCGTAGGTAGGCGGGGCTTCGTACTTGTCTACTTGACTTGCGCAGCTTAGTTGTTGTTTGGCTCCCGGCCGGTTCGGTCGGGACTTCTGTTTCTCTTGGCCCTGTCGATGGAACCCCCTGGAAGGTGTCGCTGGGCCTCTTGTTGCAGCTCCCTCCCGGTCTACCCGGGTTGGTCGAGCTGCGACTTTCGCCGCTCCTGCCTGGTCTTTCCGGGCTGGTTGAGCTGGCCTGGCTGTTCCTTCCTGGTGAGACTTCGGGCTGGCTGTTGACTGGTGAGTATTGCTGGTTATTTCCTATTTGATCCCCTGTATCTTCCCTCCCCTCTTGGTTTGTGTTATCGGGGTCGTCTGTGTTTGGTTGCGTGTCGGTTGTGTTTTTTGTTCTTGATCTTATTTGATCGATGTGGCGTTTCCATGTTTGTCCGTCGGTTGTCTGTAGCCGGTAGGAGTGGGGTCCTGTCAGTTGGGTTATAGTTGCCGGTACCCATAGTGGGTCTCCGGTAAGGTTTTTTGCATAGACTGCGTCGCCTGGTGCAAAAACCCGGTGCTTGCTAGATGAGTCCGGGGGTTTTTCCGGGTTGTATGTGGGGTGTAGTCTGTCGAGTGGTGACCTTAGTTTTCTCCCCATTAGTAATTCTGCCGGGCTTTTGTTTGTCGTTGTGTTTGGGGTGATATGTTGTATTAGGAGCATTTTATTTATTTTTTCTTGTATGTCCCCGTGTTCGATCTTTTGGAGGGTTCTTTTTGTAAATTGAACCATCCGTTCTGCCCTACCATTGGCCGCCGGATGCGCCGTCGCTGTCAGTGCGTGTCGTATGCCTCGTTCCGCTAGGAATCTTTCGAATTCCAGCGAGGTGAACTGGGGTCCGTTGTCTGACACGATGACATCCGGGAGACCGTGGGTTGCGAAAAGTTTGTTTAAGACCTTGG